CTACAGAAGGCCTTTGTTCACCTCCCGGAGCCGTGTGAGACACTTTTTTTTATGGATGGGTGCTTTTTATTTAACTTCTTTTAGACTGAAGCACTGCAACACCCGCTGACTGCAATGATAGAGCTTGGAATAGCCAGGACAATTTTTAATATAACTCCGACTGGATTCGTCTGAAAGAAGAAAGTCATATACACCTAGGATGTCTCTGGGGTGAGTAAAACACAGCCTAATTTAAATTTTTGGGTGAACTGACCTTTTAAGCTTAAGAATTTTTTTAGTGGGGCTTGCGAATTCAAACACTGTTATGACTATTTCTCATGCTTAGAGGTTGTTGTTTTTTTTCAGACTGGGTTTTTTGCCGGAAAACAAAAAATCCCACAGACTTGCATTGTAGAAGTGATAAGAGCCATTTCTACATATCTACATAACATAGAAACTTGAGGATGGGCTCTTTTGATTTGTAGTAACTAACTAACAAGCACAATCATCAAAATAAAACCAAAATCATGATATGGCTTAGTGTGATTATCAAATCGCAAAGGCTGTGATTTAAATATATGTACTGTGGGTTTAAGAGTGCGGCTCATGATCTGGTGTTTGCTGTGTCTTAGAGTGGCTTTGTTTACAGTAAATGCAGCTTCACACGAACTCATCTCTGCATCTGCTCTGAGTTTAGGTCACTTATAACGTGCAGAAGCACTGCAACACCCGCTGACTGCAATGATAGAGCTTGGAATAGCCAGGACAATTTTAGCCAGGGGGTGGGGGTTGGTAATGGGGAAGTACACCGTTTTTGAACGTGCTAAAGGGTAACTTGCAAGAATGTAGATTGTGCAGTATGTGGATATGTGCTGTGTTTAAGATATGCACTTTATGTGTACATGTTTATGACCATGAAGGAAAGAGAGACAAAGATTGAGGCTTTGCTTTTTCACTTGCACAAAATAAAGACATTCTGCTTGGATCTACGTCAGTATGCATGGACTCTGTTTTTGCACGTGTTAAATACGTGCTCACTCCTGTTATCAGTGACAACGGCTTAAAGGAAAGACATAACAGTCATAATAATATATAATCACAACATTTTGGCCAAATTATGCAGCCTCAAAAACAAGTTCAGCAAATCAGCAGCCCTATAAATAACAGTGGTTAATATGTGGGTATATTATTTTTCTAACCGCATAAAAACATCACCGCATGATATATTGGTACTATATTGGTTATTGACTGAGTTTTTTTATTTATCAAATCAGTCAATGTTGGATACTTATAGTTGCAATATAACAGAAGTAGCAGCAGATGTTTTCTTCTGTATTGTGACATAAATCCAAATAATACAGATTATCAGAAGAAATAATTTTTTTGTTTGTTTTTGCTACTGTGAAATATCAGTAATATATCATATTTTTATTTAGTAATAGTAATAATCATAATAACAATGCTAATATTTTTTAGTCATAATATATAATCACAACATTTTTGCCAAATTATGCAGCCTCACAAACAAGCTCAGCAAATCATGCAGCCCTATAAATAACCATCTAGCAACCACTTCAAACACCCTAGCAACCGCATAGCAACATGCTAACAACCACTCAGAAATCCTTTGCTGTGGCATATAAAGCCTTGGGCAATCACCATTCAAACTTTGTTCAGAAAATGTGAAGATCTAGTACTGTTTGCAGTTTTTTTCTTTTTAGACCCCAGTTTAATTTAAGCCTCAGTATCCTGTTGCATTTCGTCACTATAGTAGCTGGTATGTGAGAGGGATGTTTTGAGTCGGGCTTATCTGAAGACACTTTTGTGAATTCAGACACTGTCTCATAGTCTTGCCTTTGCTCTAAGTACAAGCTTCTTGCATTTATCTTCCTCTCTGTTTGTCTACTTCCTCTGCTGGCATGAAGGTGACTGTGGCCAGTTATTTTCAGGATTTGTATAGCTCAGTGTTTTGCTGGCTTTAATTTCCCATTTAAGCACAGCTGCCTCAGCAGGGGCTATAGGATTTATCTTCACTGAGCTCTGTGTAGAACAGCTTTATTACTGAAATGAA